TTATAAATTGGATTAGAGGAAGTATGGATTAGGATTATAGTCAAGTCTCGTAAAAGAATAAATTAATGATAATTAGATTCTGGATAAATATTTTTAAAAAATATAGGTTGTAAATATCAATTTAAATAACTATAAATTCAAAATTTTTAATTGGAAACAATACATTTAAATTTTAAATATAATTATCAATTTGTAGAAATTTATTTTTTAATGGACTTAACTGTTATTAATTTAATCTCTTAAATTTAAATGTTATTCCCCCTTATAGAAAGTACTTCCTCTTGTTTATATTATAAGGAATTTTCTATAAACCTTACTTGATTTAAAATATAAGATATTGAGTAGTGTTTATAATTTTTTATTAATTATACCATACTTTATTCATTATTTAAAAAAATTATCCATTATAATTTTAATTTTCATTATTAAGATATTAATAAATTAATAATTTTCATTATAATTTTGATAATGAGAGTATAACTTAAAAATTTAATTTTTTGAAAAAATGAAAGTTTCAACTGATTATTTTAGGGTCAATGAGCATTTTGAATTTTGAACTCTTGAAATATACAAAAAATTTACTTAACTTTTAAATTTCAAACACTTGAAATCTCATGGTTAAGATGAGTATTACATTAACATATGATTGGGCCCACAATTATCAAAATACATAGCATATTTAAAAAAATATAAAGGTGAAATAGTTATCTTTCAATAGGAAGAGGAAGTACATAGCAAATTTTCATTTTCAAAAGCATTGATTTTGATTTGAAATTCTTGTACAGCCCACTTTTAAAATTTCTTTTATGGAGCATTTGATCAATTTGACTCGTAACTTCTCATTGAATTTGCATCATGCATGAAGAGAAAACTATAGGTGGCACAACAAAAGGAGTGCATGCATGCAAAACTAGCTAGGTGGCGGATTTATTCTAAGTGCTCAACTATTCATGTATGCATGCAAATATATATAGATATATATATAATTCATATTCAGATGTGGTTAAGTGAGTGATACTTGTTAACAGGTGGGAGGATGGACACAGGAACATGAAGGACTAACTTTTGTGGTAGCAAGAGGAGCAGGGCATGTAGTTGCTGTGCACAGACCAAAATGTGCTTTTGCTCTCATCAAAGTCTTCCTTGTTGGAACTTCCATGCCTTCTTTTCATGACTTTGAGCTTCTCAGTGCTCCTTGAAATCTCATGTTTTCGTCTTTTTAGTTTCACTATCCCCTCAAAAAAATCTGATCTGCCTAGCTTCCTGTAATAAGTTTTTTTTTTTTTTTGGGTTCTAGTTTCATTATTTGTTCATCATGTGTTCATGCATTCTTTCCCTAGCTTGTCATTGTTGAGTATTTTTTGTCTCTTTTAACTTAGGGTGTGATGTTAGAAAAATCAACGTACTGAATGAAAGTAATTGAAGTCTTGTTGAACTTGTTTTTTTCTTCACACTCCATATCATTACGCTCTCTAAGCACTTTCTTCTATAAATACATAATTTTTTTCCTTCAGCATAATTATTCCCCAAAGACTATATGACTTAACTGTATATGTTCATGTAAAGCTAAGGCACGGGATGTTGTCAGGACAATGAACTGTGAGGATATTCCTCATGAGATCAATGGTGTATATCTTTCGAGCACTAGTTTTATGTGGCAGGAAGTGGTCTCAGGAATCACATTCCTTAATTAGCTTATCACCACAAAATATACATACATGCATACATATGCTGAGAAATGAAATATACCTTTCATGAAAACTTAATCTGAGAGTAGAATAGGAACAACAGCAAACCAGCATTTTGGGGGTATGATAAAGTAAGGTTTTTCTTTTCTCTTCTTTCAGCATATTTCGTACGGACTAAAGAAAATTAGAAAATCTGCAAATCAATATACATGTATATAATAGCAAAAATAACTAATGATTCATTTTAGTTCTTGAGAAATGTGAAGTGTTACCAGGTTCTGCGCTTGTGCTGTGAGTGAATGCTAGTGTCTAAGCCTAGAACTTAGTCCCGCATCAAGTAGCGAAGCAACGAGCAGGTACATCAGCCGAGCAAATCGACTTTAACGAGCATACCTTTCTTGGCCTTTTGGCTAAAATCAAGTGTAGTATATGTTCTTATCTCGAATTGGTCATTAAATTGGTTATGATATTGGGTCATAGATTAGTGGTTCAATCAGGGTTGAACCGGATCTGCTTCTAATTTTTCATTTTTTGACTTCAGTTTTACTTTTTTTTTTATTTTATTTTTGAACTCAGCGTTTTGGAAAATCAAAGATGAAAAAAAAATCCCCCCAAAAAAACATCGTTTTAGGGGTTTTGTTTGAAAAAATAATAACCCAGTTAACCCAGTCAACCTACCCGATTATACTGGGTTGAATCCAGGTTCCATTAGTTCATTCCCTCACCGGTTTAAAAGTAAATCTAGACCGAATAAGAGATCGGGTCACTGATTTTTAAGTTGACCTGGTAGGTCCGATTCGAGTTTCAATATCATGATTCTTATCAATTTAATACCTGGTACGTGGGCTAATGGTCCGCATGATCGATATTAAATTTATTTGTTGAGGGTGAGGGTCCAATATAGTAGCTTGCTACTAGGGCTCTCAAGCATCGCCCTTGCGTTGGCAGTGTAGCTTGGGCCTAACTCGCCAAATCTAGTCAAAAGCCTTTTAAACCGCATGTACACTTGTGTATAAGGGCCTAGACATCAAGGCCCAACAAAATAGTAATGAGAGGTAAAATTTGTTTTGTCTCTTAATATTTTTTTCCGGAAATATTTAAATTAATTTTGCAGTATTTTCATTCTCTATTTTTTCATTAAGAGGGGAATATTTAAAACTGATCTGCATATGTACTTTTTAAAAAATAAGAAATCTTTTATTTAGAACTGGGAATATTTCTTTTTCAAACTTATCTACAAGGTTTAGGTATTTACTGCTGGAGTAGTTGGCTTGGTAACTTAGTATAGTTACGCCCCTTTTTTTTATTTACGTAGAACTTGTTTAAATAATATTAATTTTTATGCGGCTTTGCAATACTGGGTTGAGTTGAGCCTACTTAGCTAATCTGAAATTTATATTAACTTCATTAAGCCATCAGAGAGTAAAGTTTATAGGAAATCAACTTCTGATGGAGGATTATAATTTGGAAGGGTTATTGCCTTTTTCTTCAGAATATATTTCTTATGTATTTTATTATTACTTTTGTGAGCTGTAATTTGGCTGAAAGGGTATATTATTACTTGCCTTTATTCTCTTCAGAATTGTTTTTATGTCGTGCAAATGCTTTCCTTCCTCTGGTATTTTATTTTGATCGCTGGCTCCTGTATGGTTTCAAAATTCAAATAATGGCAAATTGTATTTTATTAAAAAAATTTAAAAAAAGACCGAGACAGTTAATTCAATTAGTTGAGAGGGTTAATCAACTTATTCTCGAATTCGAATGCAAGATATCCGATCATATTAAATAAAAATATCGAGGCTATCATTAGGTGGTAATATTTTAAAATAAAGGAAAGAAAAACAAACATGCTCACAATTTCGCATATAATAATATTTTTCTAAAAAACAATATAACACAAATGATGTCATGGCATACGTATACAAATACTGTCCGCGCCAAAACACCATACAAAACGCCACCACCTCCCACAGTAAGTCCGCTGCTTTTTCTTCGATATCATTATTTCTTTTCCATTAGCATAAAACAAAGCCATCATTTCTTTTAATGATACTACTGTCTACTGTGATACCGTGATGCTGCGTTCATTAACTTCTAATTTATAATTGTCAGCATTGTCAGCTTTGATGCTCTCAAAAAAAAAAATTCACAAATTTAATCTTCATGCCTACATAATAGATACATTATTTTTAGAAATAACTGTATAACTTTTAATTAAATCATATGTTTTACCGTATTATTATTATTATTATTATTATTATTATTATTATTATTATTATTATTATTATTATTATGAGCCCATTTATAGATTACGTACAACTAAAATAATATATTTCTGTTCATTCATTATATTATTTATACATGCAATGTAAAAAAAAAAAAAAGACATCATCTGTTGATAGGCTAGGATCATACCTTTGATTAAGGCTATTTAATTAAATAAATGAAGCCTATATATGCATATATCGTTACACACACACACAATATTTGTTTTAATAATTATGAAATATTCGACTATATCCCTTTCTCGCTTTTCCTCTTAATCAAAACTTGAAAGCACTAAACATGTTAGTTCTTACATATGTTTTTTTTATATTAACTTTTGTATAATAAATTGATGATACATCAGTTTTACCATTTAATTTTTAATTAATTTTTTTAATTTATTAATTATATTTTCAATTAGAATGAAACTATATATTAATTTTAATAAATTTTAATATCGCTACTTTATTGTCATATTGTGTCATAGTTAATAAGTCCTCTTAATTATTATTTCCTAAAGTTGATAAATAAAGTTATTTGTGTGTGTATATATAAACTTTAATAATCTTAGAGGATACATGAGACCTTTAAAATTAACATATAAATTTATTTAAAATATTTACTTTTAAGTAAGTTTCACTTAGAGTTTGAATTATAAAAAAAAGTCATAGAAGTTTTAGACTAAACTTAGGATTTTGATTAACCCACACAAGTTCAAACTTATTTAATTAAAATTTAATTCAGCTTAATCTATTTTTACCTCTATCTTGAAGTGACTCTAATAAGTTCCCGCAACCCAATTTCACTTGATTTTTTGATAAAAATGTTAAAAAATGCTGACAATTATCCCATACAAGCATATGACGTACCAGCTGGCCAAAAAAAAAAATAACGCACCAAACAAATAGATTTATAAAATATCCTATTTATAATATTTTTATTTTTATTTTTCCCAAAACCAATATTTGACGATGGGGCCTTTATTTTACCGAGCCCATCTCATCTTTCTCTGGGTTTCCTTTCATTCTCTTTTCCCAAAAACTTTTTATGTGTTCTTCCGGCTGCCGGAGCCTCCTCCGACACCATGCTTCCTCCTCTTCGTCCGCCGCCATCAATACACCTTTTCGAGTAGCGTTCAACAAGATCGACGTCGATCATGACGGAAGAATAAGCCACGACGATCTTCAATCGTTCTACCACAGGTTTTGCCATGACATGGACGACCACACCAAAAATAGAGACATCATAGAGACGATGATGAAGGAGGCGGACACCGACCACAACGGGTTCGTGGAGTACGAAGAGTTTGAGCACGTGTTGGAAAGAGCGGCGGATGGCGGGAAAAGCGCTTGGGGCTGTGGAGTGATGAAGGAAGTGTTCAGAATCATGGACATGCATGACCATGATGACAAGCTTAGCCACAAAGATCTGAAAAGCTTCATGGAGTGGGCTGGGCTCGCGGTTTCCGACCAAGACATCGATGACATGATCGCCCTTGGCGGCGGCGATCAAAACGACGGCGTAAGCTTTGGTGGTTTCATTCGGATACTTGGTCTTGAACCCTGACGATCCATTTCATCCATTATAGACATCGTGTCATTATTTTAATTTAACTATGAGTTGTTTCTTATAATTTATAAATAAATCAAAGTTAGCAATTTGATTTTGATGATTCAAGAAGGCTAGTGTTTTTCAGTGTGTTTCAATGAGAGAGTGTGAGAAAATGATGGAGTGTAAAATGTTCACAATAATGACTAAGTTTTATTTTTTTTTTTTTTTGGGTCAAGCACAATATCGACCGGGTTAAAACTGAAAGTCATTAATCCAAAATTGTACTCCCTCTATTTCTATACATAACATAAACTGTTACTTATTGTCTTGTTTTTTATTTATAAATAAAATCATATATTTTAATAAGTATTTATTGTAACTTCTTTAAATTATTCCTTATAAACTCATAATTTTCAATCACAATAAACTATTAATGCAACCTTATTTTGATTAAATATAAGAATATTTTAAGTTAATTTTTTAAATTCCAAACATAATTATTATCATTAATCAATTTTTTAAAATTATATAAACAATTATTTTCTCTTTTGTATATATAGAAAAAGGAAGTAAATGCGTGTAAAAGTTAAGTAAGTGGACAAAACACCAAGTCAACTGTGCTAACTAGCACCTTGATTTTCCTTTTTCTCTGATTTTTTTTCTTCTTGGCTTGGCTCTACATAGACTTATATATAAATCAAATAATGAAAATTAAGAATATTAATTAAATAATTACTAAAAATAGGAACTTAACTCAATTGATACTTTATGGTGCCAAAAGCTATTTGTTTGTTGGGAAGTTTGCCTGTTATATATTTTTGTAGCGATATGTCATTTTTATCCAATTTTATACATTCATTTCGAGAGGGAACTATGTTTCCTAATATATATATATATATATATATATAGAATAAACTGTACTAATAATAAATTAAGGCTAAAGAAATGAAGAGTGCTAATGAAAGCTTTCATCCAACAAAAAAGATCATACAGGATTATAGTTATTATTCTGTTTTGAAAGCTTGAAAAAGCTAACACTTACATTCATGAAAGAATATTTGCTTCGAACAGGAAGGATATTTAATTTTTGAAAAAAAGGCAAAAAAAACAGCAGGATTGCCAGTCCATATATCAGAGATATTAATGTATAGATTCAGATAGACCAACATAACTTATACACCTCTGGTTATTCATGAAATCTAATATGAATCAATATTTTGCTGTTTCAATCCTTATTTAACATTGTATTTTTTGAGTTTCAAGATAAAGCACATTCTTTTCTTTTCTTTTTTTTTTGAACAAACAAAGTCAATTTTATTAATATCAAAAAATTATTACACTCACTAGTAGACTGGAAAGCAAACAAAAGAAACACGTACAACCTATAAAGCAAACAAAAATATAAAGCAAATACAGTAATTAATCTACAATCATGAACACCACCAATACAACCTATAATCAAAACAACAACAATAACAACAACAAGCCTTTATTTCACTATGTGGGGTTGGCTACATGGATTGTAAGACGCCATTGTACTCTATCATTTATCAAGGTTTTAGAAATATTATTAATTAAGAGATCACGTTCAACAACTTCCAAGAGTATTCTCTTAGGCCTTCCTCTATCTCTCTTAATCGGACTCAAAGTTATATGTTCCACTCTTCTCACTGGTGCCTCCCTTGGTCTTCTTTGTACATACCCAAACCATCTCAACCGATTTTCTACCATTTTTTCCTCAATAGGTGCCACCCTCACTTTTTCGCGTATGTGCTCATTTCGAATTTTATCTTTACGTGTATATCCGCACATCCATCGTAACATTCTCATCTCTGCTACTCCAACTTTATGCTCTTGCTGTCCCATTAGAGCCCAGCATTCACTACTATATAACATTGCCGGTCTGATAGCAGTACGATAAAACTTTCCTTTAAGTTTATTAGGCACCTTACGGTCACAAATAACTCTTTTAGCTTTTCTCTAATTAAACCACCCAGCTTGAATTCTATGTGAAATATCTCCACTGATTTCGCCATCATTTTGAATAATGGCTCCCAAATATCTAAACTTTTCCACTTGAGGTATAATTTGATCTCCCAATTTCACTTCCAAATTATTTTCGAATAGTCCTTTACCAAATTTACAATATAAATATTCCGTCTTACTTCTACTCAGACGAAAACCTTTCAACTCCAATGTCCTCCTCCATAACTCAAATTTGCAATTAACCTCTTCTCTTGTCTCTGCTATAAGAACTATATCATCCGCGAAGAGCATATATTTCGGGATTTCCTCTTGAATATGTTCCGTCAAAACATTTAAAATCAAGTTGAACAAATAAGGACTCAGAGATGATCCCTGATGTAGTCCAATCTTTATAGGAAAATCCTTTGTTTGACCACTAGGTGTTCTTATACTAGTTTTTACCTCCTCATACATATCTTGTATGGTTTTAATATAAGCAATCCGTACTCCCTTTTTTTTCAACGCTTTCCAAAGCACTTCTCTTGGTACACGGTCATAAGCTTTTTTCAAATCAATAAAAACCATATGTAGATCTTTATCTTTACAACCTATAATCAAAAAATACAACAATTAACCTATACCCTTCTTCTAGTATGCAGAGACCTCCAAATCATTGAGATCCTCAACCAAAATTGAAGCCAGAGAGGGTGCTGACTGAAACAGCCATCCTTGTGGAACCAGTCGTCTCATTACCTCAAATGCAATCCAATCCGCAGCTCTATTCCCACTTCTAGCTACCAAAACCAAGCAGCAATCAGTGACAGACCTCCAGGACTTGAAGCAATTCTGCAAAGCATCATCACAAAACCATTCATAACCTGCAGCATTAAGATTCCTCAATCTCAAAAACAAATCTTGACAGTCAGTCTCAAAAACCATAGTCCTATACCCAAACCTACCTCTTACCTCCTAAGCTACAGAAAATGCCAGACACCCAGCGGTAAACGCAGAGTCAGGCTCAACCAACTTTCTATATCCACCCAAAAACAAACCATTCTCATCTCTGGCAATAACTCCCACAGCTGCCTTTCTACTATTCAAACAAAAAGCAGCATCAAAATTGGCCTTAATCATATTCACATCAGGTCTGCACCACCTAACAACCCTTTCAGCCTTTGTTACAGAAACCAAGCACCTTCTTCTTCTCTCCTTAGCCTCCCAATAGTCCCTCCAAATCTCCCAACATATACCAGCAAACAAGGCTATCCCAAAATCATCAGGACTATCCTTACCCATCAACCAATCAGCCAACCACCTATCCAACCTACTGATACAAATCTCATCAAACTTCAACCCTAAAGGTGAGACAAACCAACACAACTTAGCCCAAGGACATAGAAAAAGCATATGTTTAACAGTTTCCACATGCACTTTGCAAATTCCACATCTCGGGCTACTTGAACACTTCCTCCTAAATAATACTTCGTTAACAGCCAAAGCATTACTAGCAGCCCTCTCCTACACAGTACTTCGATGTATTTTGCCAATCGGAGGCAAGCATGGTTCAGATCTACGTACCCAAACAAAACATACGTTCACTTGCTGGCTCGTCTCCTACCGAACTATATATGTGTTTAAGCTTGTGTATGATCGAACTATAGAAGGAGAGACTCTATTCGTCACGTGGATCTCAATTTTCTTGAAACATATAAAGCTCAGTTTGTGTAAGGCGAATTCAGAACTTGTTCACATGTTTTTATATATGATTTTGGGTCTCTCTAAAAAGCCGCAAATCTATAACAACACAACGAGATGGTTTGATTATCGAAGAGTTTCCAGCTCCTTCGTTGATGCATCATCATATTTTCGGTTTGCTCTCAGTTTTACGAGCTCACTGTCATCCCCATCAAGTCCTAAATAGATTGTACTTGAAAGTATTTATAAGTCCCACATCGATCACGAGTAATTTATAAAATCCATAACTGTACTTCCTCTCTGCTGAGTTGGACAATGCTAGCTTGTGACTCGAGTGAATGCATTTAGCTGATGGATTGCAGATTCAGCTTTACTGGGTCGGTCTGATTGCTGTATCATGCTGGCCTGCCCTATAAAGCGTGAGGCTGGTTTCACGGAGCAGCGAAAATCTTTGGCTCTTGACAGTGCAAGGATAACAGGTCGCTGCACTTTCATTGCCTAGTGACCCTATCTGCATGTACCATCATCTTTTTTCTTTTACAGATCGAGGAAGGAGAAGAAACCCAGTAAGTAATCTTCAGTTTTTTTTTAATTTTCTTTTCAATGGAAATAGAAACTTCATCAATCAAAGACATTATGTACACAGCTCAAAATAAAGACACCTGTCATCATTTTTCACCTTAGATTCCTAGTTTTACATATAAGATCTGCAATAGGATGATTCTCCACATTATCTCTCAGCAGTTGATTCTAACACCAGTGCATTATCTGTATGAACCACTACATTCAGCATTGCTTTTCTCCAACAGATATCTGTATGAACCACTATATCCACCACGTTAATAATTAAATACCTTTCATGACAGAAATCATCAAAGGGATTGAACATAGCTGTTGACAAAAGCCCACCTTCCATGCCTCCTGCACATCAGCGATGAGTCCTCCACTTGAGTATTCTTCTCTATATATCATCTGTTGACACATCTATCGATCTTCAGGTTGAAATGATTTTCCTGGTTTCACTTAGTGCTTCTCTGTTCAATCCCTCTCCTACCACCTTCTGCATTACTTTCCATCTGCTCAAAATCATTTCCAAGGTATCCCTTTTGGTGTGCGCTGATCCAATTTCTTTTTTTCATTTTGAGTTCCATTTTAACCACTCTATGATCTCTTGCAGACTCTTGAAGTACTGGTGCCATTATATTCCTCTGGTTTCACCATGGAGCTCCAAGTTGGCAATCTCTGATCCTGTGCATGGTATCTTCATCTTTTTCTACCAAGTTGTTTGAAATTCGTGATTTGTATTTATATGTCTGTTCCATCATTTCGAATGCCAGAAATATTGACACTTGACAGCTTGTATCTTGGAGAAAAAACAAAGAGCTATGTTGTGGTTCATTGTTCTTAGTTCCTTGTTGAAATATATGTTGAGTGACGATTTTTAGAATCTAAAACATTTTGCTTTCAACCAAGTGATGATGGCTTTAGTTAAAATCTAAATAAAGTATAATATGACTAAAACTCATGGGCAATCCGATATGCTGCCAAGAAATCTTCATATTAAAACCGTCTTGTGTGGTCTGAACTCCGAACATCAAAAATTAAATGAAAAGTAGAATCACAACGAAATACACACAGCAGACGCACACATAAGAATACAATCGAACTTAAAACTCAGAAGAACTCAAGCATCCACGAAGACCCAACATCATTCATCGTCAATACTTCAAAGAAACGAGAATTTAGAAATGAAATTCGCCTTGAAATGGAGCTTTCGCGGCAACAATAGGAAGTACTGCTTGTTACTCTACAGTACCTGCGGATGAAAGCTTTTATCTGTGATCTAGAATTTAGGCTCACATCGGGGAATGAAGAAGTGTGCAAACGAATGAGCAGCAATAAAAGCCAAACGAACCCACCAAACCAGGCATACCTTTCTCGGCCTTTTGGCTAAGATCAAGTGTAGTATCTGTTCTTATCAGTTTAATATCTGATACGTGGGCCATTGGTCCACATGATATTAAATTTATTTTTTTAAGGGGAGGGTTCACTGCAGTAGCTTGCTATTGGGACTCTCGCGCGTCGCCCTTGCGTTGCACTACAGCATGGGCCTGGCGCACCCCACCAAATCTAGTTTAACTTTTGCGACCCAGTTTCATTGAAGCATGCTATGGCAATGACGGCCCAATTGTATGCCTAAGAAATCTTTCCATTTTTTGAATGTTCTTAATATTGGCGTTTCAGATTGATGTAGAAGGCATTCTCTGCTACGCTTTTTCACGTGAATAGTTATGCAAGTTCCAAGGGCAATTGAATACCTACGATTTCGGTGTAATAAATGAAGTTTCAAAATATAAAGAATAAAAATAAAATTTTATTAATAATACTTTTTTAAATATTTTCATTTGCATATATAATTTTTTTTAATATTTTTTATAAATAAAATGTTAAATAAATGACATTTTGTGAAGTATATTTTTTTATTTTAAAATATAAGATTGTAAAATATATTTAATGAAATTTATTAATATATGTAATTTTATTAAAAAATATTTCATAAACTAAAATGGAAGAGTATTTACTGGGTTGAACCTACCTGAACGATATGAAATTTATAACTTTATTATCAGTGGAGAGTTAGATTAGAACTGGAACCAATAATTCAAGTCAAACTTAAAAAATTAGCCTAAACTTGGCTTGAAAATTTTAGAATTGACTTTAAAAAAAGATACTTTTTATAAATAGGTCTGAAAAAATTTGAACCAAGCCTAATTAATTGGGCTGGGCCTGAATATTAGAATAAATAATTTTTATATACATCATTTAAATATAAAAAAAATTATATTTTATATTTTTTATAAAATAAAATAATTAATTTTAAAATAAAAAATAATTAAAATTAATTTTAAAAATAAAATTTGATTATTTTGGTTGCCCGAATAAATTCAGACTGAACTTAACTATTAAAATTTTTTAAAGAATCGAACCTGTTCAAGTTGCCCCATGCCTGAATTTCCAACTTTAATTGGAAGGGCACTAGACTACTAGCTGTTCTCGTCAAAAGCCGAGCGAACCCACAATAAGAAGCATGCCTTTCACGGCCTTAAGGCTAAGATGAAATGCTGTATCTGTTCTAATCAGTTTAATATTTGGTACGGCTAACTTTATATTAAATTTATATTTCTAGGGGTTGTCCACTACGGTAGCTTTGCTACGGGGTCCCTCAAGTGTCAACTTTGCTTTGCACGACAGCATGGGCTTTGAAGTGCTTAGACAGTGGGCTATGTTTTTGTTTCAACTGTTTCTTTGTTTTCCTTTCCCCCCTTTTATTAGAAAGAATTTTTTCAAGGTACAATTAAATATTAAATATAAGTATATTTTTTAATGAGAATTTAAGCACGGTTTATGACATGGCGAGAGATTAAAAGCCTGTTTGTTTTTCATTGTTAAAAATTGTTTTTTGTTTTTGAAAATAAAAAGATTTAAAAACTCGTTTGTTTAAGTGTTTTTCTATTTACTTATTTGCAAAATTGGTTTTATTTTTTGTTTTTAAAAATAAAAAAATAAAAATAATTTTAAGTTGCTTTCATTTTATTTTTCTTATTTTTGAACTATACTACATTTAATTATTAAAAATTATAATTATACTGATCAATTTTTATGATAAATCACCATCATTAATCACCTATAATTATCACTATCAATTTATTTTTAATTTTAAAATTATTTTTAAATTAATATAACCAAACAGATTTTTATTTTATTTTATTTTAAAAAACAGTTTTAAAAATTATCTTATAAAACAGTTTTTAAAAATAAAAGATGAGAACAAAAACTAAACAGGTCCTAAGCTTTTCTTCCAAATCTAACTCCAACTGATTTCTTTTCTTTATTTTTTGGGTAGTATTTTCTTTTTTGTAGAACTAATTTTATTTATGATCTTTTCGGCCGTTCAATGTAAATAATCTTTGCGTGAGGGCAACTGCATTCATGTTAGGACTTAGGGGTATGTTAGGTTTGGAATGGCTATGATTTGTTGCTATCGAATCCAATTATTCCTTTCTTTTTAGCACATATTATTAAGGGTGTGTAGTTTGTACATATTTCGATTGGCCCAATATCATTTCAATTCAAAAATAATCAGAATGAAATTTTATAGAATGGGACAGAAAATGAATTTAGGACGACACATGAGATTGTCATTAAGACGTCTTGTAACATCCTGATTTTTATATAATAAAAAAATTGTGGAATTTAGGTTCTTAGGAAAAAAATGATAATAATAGGAATTTATATTATTTGAGGTTATTTAGAAATGATATTATGGTTAGGTATTTAATTATAAATTTAAAAATTTAAATTTAAAATCACATAAGCAATATTTAGTTAAGATATAATACATAAATAATTTTTTATTGTGTGTTAAAAAAAAGAGAAGGTAGAAGGAACAAAAAAAAGGGGGTGGTGGAAGGTTGTTGTTTCTAAGTCCCACATTGGTTAGATGAGGGAAGAGAAGAGGTGCTTTCATGTATAAAAAGGAGGGGGTATGTGCATTAGGAAGTATGAGAGGCTAAGATGCAATTTAGAGGAAATTGCAGCTTTTGGCCCAAAGGTTTGAATAATTAAATTCGAACCTATAGTTTTTTTTAATATAATTTTGGGACCACAATCCCATTTTTATATTATTTTTCTCTCTTCCTCTCACGTTGCTCGGCGTTTTTTTCGCAAGGGGGGATTATTTTCTTTTTCTTCAGGTATGTTCTAACTTTCCTGTTTAGATTAGCATTTAAAAATTTATTTAATTACAAAATTAATTTTATAGTTATTTTCTAAATAATATTAGCTTTCTAATGATATGATTATTTTATAGGATAGAGTAAATATTCTGATTAGGATTTTTTTCTATAGGATAGTTAATATGATGATATGATGGATTAAAAATATAGGTTAAAACTCTTAGGGATATAATAAATATTATAGAATATTTTCTTGAGGTTGAAACTCATGTTTAAGAATTTTTAAGTTAAAATCTAGATCTATATGGTTGAATTTATGTGGAATCTGAGATGTAGGGATAAACCTATGATTATTAAATATTTATTTAAATATGAATAGGTATTTTAGAGGTTATAGAAAGGTGATTTGAGGCTTCAGGATAATTTTAAAATTTTTAATTTATTTTTGGACGAATTTTTAGAATATAGAAGGATGAAATTGTGATACTATAAGTGATTTGAGGATAAAAAAATAGTTTATTAGGGTACGAGAATTTTAGAAAAAGAATTTGGGAAGTTAAATGAGGCATAAATCTTAAATTAGTATTAATATGGATTATAGATCTAAGACTTTCTAATTCTTTAAATTAGAGTTATTTATTTTAATGTAAAATTAATATATAGTTTTGTGAAATAATTATGTAGATTATATTGACAAAGATAGTGGTGAAAAAGGAGTTGTGAAGGGGAACTTGTTATTCAAGACACAAGGTAACCATTATTAATGTGTTTTGATGAGTGTGTTTGTGAATGGTTATGTGTTGTTTTGTTGTTTGGAAAAATTATGAATTATTAAAAATAAATACTATATATACTTGTTTGAAATTATTGCTAAGTGGGTTAAAAATTTATTTTTGTTTATCATGATGAGATATTATTGTTCGGATATATTCCTATTTGGATATTTGAATGATGCATGACTTGTCAGGGTATTTTAATGTATGGTGTTAATGGGAATTTCTGTTCGGTTAATTATTACCACGTGGTAAGCCCTCATTAGACCCAATGAGTGGAGTGTCGCTTGGTCCAACTCACCTTTGGCCGGGTGATTTGGCATCCGAGCATGGTGAAAGGAGGATATAAGGTGCAGTTATGCAATTAAATACTTGTTCGGTTTGTTTGAAAATATTGTTCGGTTAAATGTTTTGTGTGCCCACTTAGCAATCGCATGATTAGTTACATCCGCATGCATCATTACATATTAATTTTTGATTACTGGGACTTTTAAGTCTCATTCCCCGTGGTTAATATTTTTACAGGAGCGAATCCGACCGAGAAAGCACCAGAGGTGTAATTATGGTGTATGAGACACCATCTTTTACGTTGCCTCTTATTTTAGATTATACAATGTATCTTATGCCAACTTAGGACATATCTTGTCTATGGAGCATGTAAACTCTAATCCTTTTTATTAAATGCATTTATATGTCCAAGAGGATTATGTCTGTCCCTTTTGATTTATGACTTAATTTGAATAACATGCTATGAGGATCATGTCTGTCCCTCATGGTTCTAATTGCTTTTTGAGATATTTTAAGACCTGTGGTATATTGTCTTGGATGTATCATGGTAGAAATTTTTCTACCATGATAAGGGTATGATAAGGGTTCAATGAAAAAAAAATGATTTGTTGAATTAATAATTTGTGAAAAATCGGTTTGTAAATTTGAGGGTGTTACACGTCTCATTTCATCCCAAATATATATATATATATATATATATTATTTTTATTTTAAAATATACATTAAATATATCAATTATATTAATATAATTTATACTTATATCAATTATAATTTCAATACGTGCAATTATTAATTAATTAAATTTTTTACATTAATAATTTTAATGACATAGAATAAACAGGGAGATATCTTTCTTTATAATATATTATTATATTAATATAATTTATATATATATATATATATCTATTTAATAACTTTTATTTATGTCGTATTTCTTACTTTATTTTTGAAAGAGTAATTAGCTTAACATATATTAACTAAAGTAGAAGAATAATGATTTAATGTTATATTTAACTGGCCTATTGTTACTGCTCTTATAGCCTAGAGATTACTTGTAATTGTCATTATAATGCGTAGTTGTGATTAATATAATTTAATAATTGACTTTAAGTTGTTGTGATTTATGTACTTGTATTGTTTTGATTTTAAACTTAATAAATTATATGATTTAAAATTTTAATTGATGTTATTTTTTCTCCTACATTATTCAATTTATTGAGACATTGAGACATTCTGATCCTATCTCGATTCCTAACAAGAAGGGAAGACTTTCAGGATGGGATAAGATGGGACACAGGGCAAAAATTTAGTCTCAATTTTTTTTATGAGGCGAGACTAGGACACTCTTATCTTGATCCCGTCCCATCCTGTGAAGACCTTTATATGTTATCTAATTGAATGAAATAAGGATAATGCCACATTTTTATAATTTGTTGGGTGTACAACTTGATCCAATTTGATCCAATCAATATATTTTTGTAAAAACATATAGTTGAATTCATTTTAAAATTAACTAAATTCTAGTTCAGATCAATATTTTCAAAACCAGATTGGATATTGAATCGAGAAAGTCAATGATTCATGATTTGCATGATTCAACCGAGTTGGATAAATTGTTAAATTAGTTACATAATAATTAAATTAAAAAATTATATATGTATATAATAATATAAATATAAGCGATAAATATAAAATTGCTACTTAACTTAAAAATAAAATCAATTATTTTAAGTTTATCATAATTTAACAAGTCATATGATATAACATAACATTAAATGATTAAAAAATTGGTCATTTCTAAAAAAAATTTGATAAAAAATTTAAAAAAATTAACAATTTAATTTTGAAAATCAGATGTGATTTCAGACTTAATTTTGGTTCCTTGTCTAACTGTCAATCCAAAATGGTCTAATCCGACTTAATTCCTAAAACAGTTTTGACATCTTGATTGAGCCAAAATCGGGACCGGTCGATTGTCCGACCATCTGATTCGATCTATTTTTTAATCACTGGTTCAAATCAAATTTTCATCGCGTAAATTCAACATTTCATAAATATTATTGAAGTAAAAGATAAAATTTATTTATAAGATTTTTCATTTATTTATCACGAGCAACTACGGATTTGCCGGGCAACATACACTAGCCCAAAGGACTCTTAACTTTTTATTGAAATTCCAGCACGGTTTTCAACTTATTGAGTTTAAATTATATTTAAGTTATTATAAATTATGCCAATTCAATAAAAAGTTTCAACCCCACGAATAATTGAAGAATTTACACATGTTGTATTTTATAATTTATTAGGAGTATAAAGTATAATTTGTCACGATTGAACCCAATTAATGAATTCTATAAAAAATTTCAAGCGCATGACAAATCAAACAAAATTTGGCACACCACATTTTATAAATTACTCGGGTGTGACTTGTTCTTGTTGAACCTGGACCCAATCAATATTTTTTCTCATATAATTTGATTGATAAAGTCAAAAATTTCAACCATATGATTAATCAAACGAATTTAGGCATGCCACGTTTTATAATTTCTTTCTTTGGGGGGTGGGGTTGGGGTTGGGGTATAATATGTTATGTTTGCTCATAAAAATTGAACAAATTTTATGGTTTAAATTCAACATTTTATAAATATTATTAAAGTAAAAGATAAAATTTATTTATAGACTTTTCATTTGTAATCTAAACTATAAAAATTAAATAAATTTTGTCAAAATAAACAGGCTAGCCCAATCAAGACCACACTATGTATTGATTAGATCACATGTTTTGGCCGAAAAATGAAAGATTCGATGACGTGCTTGTGCTTCTTCAGAAAATTTTTTAGGCTGGGAGGATTAGGGAACAAAAATCTAGTATAAATATATTTAACAAAATTAATTACTATGCTTACAATAAAATGTCAACTATGCGGGGCGTGAATAAGTGGGGTTTTAACATAGGGTTAAAAGACAAAAATATTTAATAATTTTTTTTATCTAAAAACACATAATATTCCTAAGTGAATAAAATTGCATGAATATCTATAAACTTGTAATACGGAGTGCAACAATCTATATCCCGTTAAATTTATAACATTGATTGTTAAAAAATAAAGCAAACATAAAGTCAAAAAATATTTAAAAAAAATTCTCCAAAATATTCTTGTTTCTTTGAATCTATAAAACATAAAGTCAAAAAATATTTAAAAAAAATTTCTCCAAAATATTCTTGTTTCTTTGAATCTATAATGTTACATGAGTAGTTATTAATTTTACAAAAAAAAAAACAACCTTCCTCAATACATTTGTTTTTAGAACTTTCCGATCACATCAAGTTATTTTAACAGAAAGATTAAAATCAATAATTTAAGTCTGATGGGCTATCTGAAAAATAAGAATTGATTTCTTAAAAAACTAATATTATCAAATCAACAAGAATTACATTTAAAAAAAGAATACACATTTGTCATGCATTTACTTGTCCACTTGTTTGAACTTCGCACTCCAGCCCCACTTTGAAATTATCATCTTGTCTGTATATGTAGTTGCTCAAACAAGCAACAGATTCATTCAAGAGATTTGCGAAGTTTCTGAATCAACATGGCTTTTCACACTCACTTCATCACAACTTCCTTTGTCGTTTTGGTCACTTCCTTTTTGCTTCCCTTGTTTGCCCCAAATTGTTATTCTTCTAAGATTATTGTGAATGCAGCCGCCAATGCTAACAACGACAAGGATCTCATTGAGTGTGCTCTTAATCTAGAGTACTTGGGGGCTGAGTTCTTTCTGTTTGGATCTATGGGCTATGGGTTGGACACTGTCAGCCCAAATCTGGCCCAAGGAGGCCCATCACCAGTTGGCGGGCAAATGGCACGACTTGACCCTCTCACTAAAGATATTATCTGCCAATTTGGTTTGCAGGAAGTTGGGCATCTGAGGTTGTTTCTTTCTTCATTTTTAATTTCTATAATTATTTCCTTTTTTTTTCCTTTCTATTTTCTATATGTCACTTTTCAATTATATCACTTCTCATCTTGAATGTAGGAGCTAATGAAAAAATTTACATAGATTAAGAAAATTATGTAAGCTAGTTATTTGTGAAAAAAATAAAAAAAAAATCAATCATTTAATTTTATAGTTTTAACTTAGTTGTAATTTAGTTAATGAATGAACTTTAACTCATTGTAACTTAATCTTCATAATTTTGATCCCATTGTAATTTAGGCTTTGAATTTTGACTCGGTGCAACTCAATTTTTTTTATTTTAGTAATTTAAAATATTAGTACTTATATTTTAGAAAATAAAATTCTTTTAAAATTTTTAATCTTGATAAAGATTACAAGTTTTAGTGATTTAAAATATCATTCCCCAAATTTAAAAATAATTGTGATGTTTATAATTTTACTTTTAAAATATAAGAACTGATATTTTAAATAATTAAAACTATATAGATTGAGTTGCATTATACCGAGTTAAAGTTTAAAAATTGAGTTATAATCAAATCAAGATTATAAAAATTAAGTTATAATGGGTTAAAATTTAAAAATTAAGTTATAATTGAATCAAAATTACAGGGATCAAATAATTATTTTTTTCAAAAATAATGTGTAAATTTTCCTAAAATATTTCAACTAAAAGAGTTTGAATATGATAGCCATTCAACTTTGCAATACACAAGAATCTTACGATAGGGCTAATTTGAAGGAAATATAATAAAAAAATCAAAGGAGATTGAGATCTTACGTTTAGGATCAAAACAAATTTCCTAACTAGCTCATATAATTAGGACTAGAACAAGTAGGTTGTACAAGAATAATTTTTTCTTGAAATTTTCATAAAAAATCCCTTACCATCCAATGCATTAGAAGGATGCACACCATGGAGCTCATCATCTTGACAAAGTATTGATGAGACCTAAATCATTCAAATTTAATCTCTTCCAAAATATTGAAAGCAAATGATAGACTTTATTCTAAATCTTAAATAAGTTTATACATGTACAAGAATAGTAATTGAAATTCCCAATTATTTTCTTAAATGATAAGAGTCTTAACACATACACTTTACAAGCACACGATTAGCACACTCTGCTACACGCACACATTGTTTAAGTTGGAGACTCTTTATATATGTATGTATGTATGTATTTATATTAGTTTATAAATTATTGTAAATATTGCAGGGCCATAAAAAGTACAGTAAAAGGGTTTCCAAGGCCATTACTGAATGTGAGCAGGGAAGTGTTTGGCACAATAATGGACAGAGCTTTTGGGAGACCTATGGTCCCACCTTTTGATCGATATGCTAATTCCATTAACTTTTTGTTGGCGTCTTATTTGATTCCTTACGTTGGTCTCACTGGCTACGTTCGAGCTAATCCTATGCTCCAAAGTACCGCCTCCAAGCAGGTGTAAATGTTATATACAATTCAAACTTTGGTTCATGATCACTTGCTACATACCTCCTTTCTATTGATAATATAAGATATTTTTTAAAAAATATAATATTAAATGATTTTTATATATTTTTTTCAATTCTACCCATATTTCATTTATTATTCTTTTTGAATAAAATGTCCACTGAGATTTTAATTTTCAATATTAAGACATTTAAATATGATATTTAATTAGGATATATAATTATAAATATGTACTCTCTCTAGTTCTTAGTATAAGCCAAACTTAAAAATTCTTTTTCGTCATTAATATAAGTCAAAGTCAGAATAATTAATGCTTTTTTTCAATTTTATCCTTTGTTTATTTATTGTCATTTAAATTTTTAAAAAATAATTTATTATGATTATTAATTGCATAAAAAAGATAAAATTAAAAAGTTACATTTTCTTTTAAAAATCAAAGCTATCTTACGAAATGTTAGTTACGTCCTTAAAATTGTAGGAAAAAATAATGTAACTTTTTAATTTTATCCTTATTTACAATTAATAACGTCCGAGAATTCAGATAATAATAAATAAACAAGGATAAAATTAAAAAAGTAAAATTAACTACTCTAACTTTTCCTTATATGAAGGAAAAAGAATTTCAAAATTTGTTTTATATTAAGGATGGAAGGAAGTAACTATTATTTCTTAATAAATATGAAATTGTGACTACACTATATTATGAATAGGAAGAAGTATCAGATTAAAAGTTGGGTTGGTTATAACTTAATGAACTTTGTGGCTATAAAATGAAAATGAGCAGCTAGTGGCAGGGCTATTGGGAGTAGAATCAGGGCAAGACGCAGTGATTCGAGCATTATTATATGAGAAGAAATCTGGACTTGTTGTTCCATATGGTATGAGTGTAGCTGAATTTACAGACAGAATCTCCAAGCTTCGAGACAACCTAGGAAACGCAGGTTTGAAGGACGAGGGTCTTGTGGTGCCAATAGAACAAGGTTCTGAGGGCAAAGTCACTGGCAACATTCTCTCAGCTAACAACAATTCTCTCTCTTATGGAAGAACACCTCAGGAGATCTTAAGGATTAGCTATGGAGGAGGCAATGAGAGTGTCCCTGGTGGTTTCTATCCTAATGGAGCAGATGGTCGCATTGCTAAATCTTATTTACCACAATAATTAAATCGCCACTACAAAAAGCAGGAAATTTGGGACGGATTTGCAGCAGATTCATGTCCTTGTGACCGAACTCACAAATTTCTGTCATGAATTCGTCGCAAATTTCCTCTTTTCTTTTGGTGAATCACATCTCTTTATGAGTAGGGTAAGTGTTTGAAAACTCTGTTGTGAATTCGCCGCAAATTTCTTGTTTGTTTTATAGCAAGGTCAAATAATAATAAAGGCAATAAACTCCACAAGACAGTGTACCTAAAGCAATTATACAAGCCCTTTATTTGAAAACTCTATTCTCATTGTATTTTTAATCTTGATTAGTTTGGACATTGTTTTGACCAAAATGAATTTGATTTCTATATAATTAATAATTAGCTCCTTAGAAAAATTCTTAATCAATAAAATTGGTATTACTCTTCTAAATATTTCTTCTTCATATACTAATTTTTTTTAATTTTTCACAATTTTGAGCAATTTTCTATAATCACATTTTGAGACCCAAAACTTTAAAAAATTACATTTTGACTTCAGTTGGGCTTGACATTTCCATCTTAAAGTTTACTCTTGTTCATTTTAATTGTAAGTACTTTCTCATCATTTAATTTTATTTAATTACATATAATTATCCTTAAAAGTTAATTATTGCTATCTGATTTTGGATAGACTATTATTTTTACTTGCTTTTCTTTTCTTTCATTTCTTAATCTAATTAGTTGTTGAGCTATTTAAAAAAAAGTTAAGGATACTCTTTCAATAATAGTTAGCCAAACTTAAAATGTATATGTACTCTTAACCCATCCGATGCTGTCGTCTTCCTATAGAATCGTCATATACTTAGTAGCCCAATAACTTTCTTATAGCTCTATTATGATCATAAGATTTAACTGCGATCTCATTGAGCTCTTTTTGGATATACTATGATCAATATGATCTAATTGCAATCCTTCTCTAACAACTTAGGATATAAGGATAAAGTTGTCAAATAACTACCTCTATTTAGTCTAGTAACTGTAGTGATTATTTTCTATGACTAATCTTAGATATATATGTTACCCTCCTAAACCTTATTTATTCCTTTTAACCTATCTTGAATTTTTTTTGAACTATAACTTGCTCATACTTCAATTAAAGACACTTCATTGATGTCTCTTAAAATATTATACTTTTATCCAATAAAAACTTTAAAATTATGATTTAGTTCTTGAGAACTATTCTATCTTTTCAAGAAACCTTAAGGACTTTGATTATTTGAACTTAATAACTTACTGAATTCTAATATATTTAGATTATAAAATTTGGGATGTTACATATAGTTGATTATAAATCAGAACCATTTAAATTATAATTGCACAATTTAGATTTAATGGTAATTTATTTTTGTTAATATTTTAATTATATTTTTTTAATAAATGGAGGGTTTGAATAAATCTAATTAATCTTCTCATGGTTTATTTTATTTTAATAAATGTAGAACGATCGCATAAAATTACCATTAACCTAATCTTCTAATGGTTGATTTTATTTTATTATATTTGATTTTAATATATGTAGAATCATCACATTTAATTATCATTTATAACTATTTTGCAGCCTGATTAATATCATCTTCTATAAGTGCCATAAGTCATGATGATTCGTACTATCGTTATGAACAAGTTACAAGCTAAGCACCATATACATTTATTTTGTGAATCTAGAGATTCATATTTTAAAGTGCTTTAACCCCGCTTTCCTTTAAACTAAAAACAGATCAGTACATACATGATTCTAAAGTTTGGTCGTACGATGAATCAAATATTTTTTTTAAAGGTAACAAATCAACATATTCACGTGTGTGTGTGTATATATATCTCATTATTACTAATTTAATTCATATATATATATATATATATATGTATGTATTTCTTTAAATCAACACGATAATAACGTTTAATGATAATGATTTATCACATTCCAACGTGTATGTTTTATCGTTTATTTGAATTACATGCACCATTCTACCAACCCTCCTTGTGTGTGTGTGTGTGTATAGAGACACAAACAAGAATATAGTGCAATTCAAGTGAGTTACAAATTCACTATCATATTTCTCTCAAATGGCTCTTCACACACATTTCATCTCTATCTCTTTCACTGTTTTGTTAGTCTCCTTGTTCCTCCCAAGTCCTCAGTCTTCTAATGTCTTTGCAAGTCCTGCAACATTGAATTATACAGATAATGATTTTCTTGAATTCCCTTTAAATTTGGAGTTTTTGGAAGCCGAGTTCTTTTTATATGGTGCATTGGGCTTTGGGCTCGATGCTATTGATCCAAAATTGGCCCAAGGAGGCCCATTACCAAGCGGTGCAAAATTAGCCAACCTTGATCCTCTTACTAAGGATATTATCTTGCAATTTGGCTATCAAGAAGTTGGGTATTTAAGGTATTTCGAATCTTTGCTTCTTTGTGATTTCCATTATAATACTCCTATAATTAAATACTTTAGGTAAAAGTGCATATTTGGTTTTCTAGCTTCATATAAAATTTCAATTTAGTCCCTTAATTTTATAAATTAAAGTATTTTTCAATCATGGTTATTTAAAAAAAAATTAAGGGAGAATATCATGGAAGGACCCTTAAAAGAATTTAATATCTAATAAGGATTTCTAACAAATAAACATTAACAACAACAAGTGAAGTTCATGTTTTAACAAGTATCTGATTTATTAAGTTCTTATCATATATTAAATTTTTCTCCTAAAAAATTAAACTTAATATATCAACATTTGATAATGTTTTGTTAACATTTAAAAGTTTAATGTTGGCATTTTTTTGTTAATGAAACTAATGTTGTTAAAGTTAGAAGAATAAAAATACACTTTATAAAATTAAGGGACTAAAATAAAATATTATATAAAGTTAAAGAATTAAATGTTTACTTTTATCAATATTTTACTCCATGAATAATAACAACATTATTTAAAATTGAATGTGTTATTGTAGGGCGATCTTGAGCAAAGTGAAAGGGTTCCCAAGGCCATTATTGAATTTGAGCAGCGAAGCATTTGCCACAATAATGGACAATGCTTTTGGAAAACCATTGAACCCACCTTTTGATCCTTATGCCAATTCCATAAATTACTTGCTTGCCTCTTACGTTATTCCTTATGTTGGTCTCACTGGCTATGTTGGAGCCATGCATTTGCTCCAGACTGAAACTGCCAAGGAGGTATTAAATTTGAACATTTGATAGTCTCCCCCCCCCCTTTTCTCTCTCTCTCTCTCACACATTACTTTATATAAAAAGTTAAAATATTAATTATTATTTTTCTAAAATCACCCTCATTTACAATTTCATATGATTTTATTTTTCAAATTCATACTCTTAAATAGGGATAATCTTGAAAATTAAATTTATTATCAAACCGTTTCAACAACTTAACTATTTTTCTTTAATTTTAACCAAACAGTTAGAAGTGCCCTGAGAAAGAATATATTATTATCATGAATGGAATCTATGTGAATCAATATCAATATATTACATCCATTCGTTTAATATTATAAGGTACTTTTAAATGAATTATATATTTTAATAAGTTAGTTAATTATCTTGAAAATTATATACTTTTTTTATGTTCACCCTTATTTAATAAGATGTCTCAATTAGAAAATCTTATTAATTACACCCCCTAATTAATGGTATTTTAAAAAAATACCTTATTTATTGCACCTTGTAATACCCAAAATATATTATATTTTAAAATATATTAGAGTACTTTAGAAAAAAATGGTTAATATGGAATTAGAATCCTGAACTATAAGTCTAAGGGTGATTGAATATTAAACTTTTAAAAGATATATTTTGAACCATAAGCAATTAAAGTTGAAGTAATTTCATCCCCACCATTAAGTTTAAATAATTAAAGTTAGGGCAATTTTATCCCCACTATTAAATTAATGGTGGGAGCAAAATTTGGTAAAAATCACATGTTATACCCTAATTTTTAAAAAATTAATGAATGCTTGTTGAAAGTTAATGGTGGGAGTAAAATTGTCTCAACTTTAATTATTTAGGGTTCAAAATATACCTTTTAAAAATTTATAATTCAAATCGCCCCAAAGCTTGTAGTTTAAGGTTCAAATTGTAAATTAACTTTGAAAAAAATACCTTATAATAATGGATGGATGTTATGTATATATATAGAGTTTAATACATAAGACCCAATTCTAGTTAGATTGAGATTTGTGAATGCCTGTACAGCTTGTAGCAGGACTTTTGGGAGTAGAGTCAGGGCAAGATGCAGTAATTAGGACATTGCTATATGAGCATAAAGATGAACTTGTGCATCCATATGAAGTGAGTGTGGCAGAGTTTACAAATCGCATCTCTATTCTTCGAGACAAGTTAGGGAAAACTGGTATCAAAGATGAGGGACTTGTTGTAGCAAATGACATAGGTGCAGAGGGAAAGATTTCTGGCAACATCCTAGCTGGTGATAAGTACTCTGTTGCTTATCCCAGACAACCTCAAGAGGTTTTAAGGATTGTGTATGGTAGTGGTGATGAGCATGTTCCTGGTGGTTTTCATCCTAAAGGAGGTGATGGTCGCATTGCCAGATCTTTCTTGCCCAAGAAAATATAGATCATATATATGCTTAGTTGCTATACTATGTACGCTTCAGGATTCTCTCTCTTGACCTGGAACACTCTAGGTGGGGAGAGAGAGATTGAAAAGATATTTTATTTCTAAGATGTGTTTTAGAATCATATTTTAAGTATGATTAATTTCCTTGTTCTCCATCCTATGCTATATGTAATAATCATAGGGAAGAAAATAATTATGAGAATTAAAAAAGTTTAGTAAATCAATAGGTTGTGTTAAAAAAAAAATCTCAAGTTAGATTTTAACATCTCAGACTTTTAAGCTTATTCAAGAGTTAACCCAAATACTATTTTTAAGCCAATTTTAATTTTTATCTTAAAAATTAAGATTTTTCAAGCAACATAACGTTATAATGCATCTTTTT